CAGTACTAGTGGTTTCACAGCACATACTCAGGCTGATTTTGTTACAGACAAAGTACTACAAAAATCAACTTTTTCCAGAATTATAGTGACGTGCACTGCTTTTCTGAGATTGCACAAGTCAGCCTTCGAGTTGCAGAACTTTGGGTGAGCTGCTGTGTGTGAACTGGGAGGTGAAGTACATTTAAAGAACTGTCTTGACTGCAGGCTTCCTGGTGTGATCAGTAAGTGCAACATGCAGTGAATAAGTTCAACGTGCCAATCTCAAATGTGTGATAATGTGCTAAAGTTCAACCTGTGCAGGTATTACTGAGACAACAGCGACCTCTGGTGGCTGTGGTGTAGTACTGAGATCCAGGACGGAGGTCCTCGAGTCTTCAAGGGCCACTTTCCTGCTTTAGTTGTTTCTGCAGAGCCTGTTAATCACTCATTCATTCACACCAGGTGAGTTAAAGCAGAGAAACATCTAAAACATGCAGAAGAGTGGCCCTGAAGGAGCAGGGTTGAGGAGCCATGTCTTGGTCACAATTATAAACATATATTTTTAATTAAAAATACAATACCACCAGGTCAAATTACTTCAAAGGTTTATTGTGAACATCTGATGACTACACAAGTGAGTGTGTTCAACTGTCCTGAAGGATGTCGATACTGTTAAACTCTTTGCGGTAGTGGTTGGCCGTTAGGACGAGCAGGACGGCCCACTTGAAGCTCACGACGCTCCACACGCTGGACATGTAGAAACTGAGAGGGTTGGTCAGAGCTGAAGCAGAGACACACAGACGTTAGGAGCTCCCAGGATTCAGAGTGAAGTTACTCCTACAGCACTGCTGGATAAAAAATATCCTCTATTCATCTTAATTACTAAAAGAAGCCACACGAGGACGCGAGAAGATATTTAACCGTTTTTTTACTTGCAAGGGCAGACACACTCTACAGGCTTACACAGAAGTCTCACTGAAGCCCAGCTGCGAGGATCTGCACCAGACAGTGTGCAAGAATATCAGCTATTACAGTACACAGACAGTCCACGATGACCTCGGCCTCCTAGCTGTACATGCAGGATCAAATCAGCTCCCCTCTAAGAAAAGAACTGTCTGAACTCACACACATGGTTCAACATTAATTTAATATTAGTTACTGATGAACATCCTTGACCTAAATTCCCCTGACAAGCACTACTACAATAAATGACCAAATGATGTGTGTGATTATTTGACAACTGTTAGACCTTCAGTCCCACTTATTTAGTTTTAAATTATAGTTTGGAGTTTTGTGGCTCTTCTGTTTAGATTTCAACTGACTCTCAGCTACTACCACACCTAATTTACCTTCTTTTCTTTTTTTTTGGTTAAACTGTCTTGTTGCTATTTTTGTATGGACTAACATTACTAACTTGTGATAGCCATCTTAAATGGGGCTGACATCCAAAGTTAATCAGTTGTAGGTGCACTTCCTGCAATTACTTTTTGAGTTTCAGTAAAATTCCATTGGTTCATGAGAAATTTTGCTAACGCAACAGACGTATAAACACCTCTTTGATAACGGTTTCTGTTTTAAGTGTGCTCTATAAATAAAGTTGACTTGACCTCCACGCAGACATGAGCTTCAGGATCGTTTCTTAAACTTAGCAGAATTTATTAAATTTTTTCTCATGACGTTAATGACGGTCTACACAGTGAGGGACCTGGGTTTTTCTACATGTACACAGGAGCAGGGAGTGCCGAGCACAGATTTATCACTTTTCAACTCAGACTACAAAAATCAAAACTACAAAAATGGAGTGACGTTGTTGAAAAGAACTCGTTTCATCGATGAGCTCACGTTGCTTCTGATGCCACTGTTGGACCCCCGAGACATTTCAGACTTACACTCTTTGTTGATGATGGCGATGGACAGGAAAGTGACGAAGGCCACGACTGCCAGCAGGGAGAAGAAAACCCCAGTGATGAATAAGAACCTGAGACTTTCCATCCGGGTCCTCGAGGTGTTCTGCAGGTTCTTGATGTGAGCGAACAGGTTCCAATATGCCAAAATAGCTGAGGGAGGGGACACAAACAGCAGGTTTTAGAAACAAGAAGTCTCTCCTAAAGGAAACTACATGGATTGTTCTCATCTGCTGCCAAAAGGCAAAGGAGATGATACAGTTTTTGCTCGTGTCTGTCTGTTCACAAAATATCTTGTGAACCACTGGAATATATTTCTTGAGGTTTGGAGAAAGGAAATATTGGAAGCACATCTGCAACTGATTACTTTATGGAGTAAACTCAATTCAAGATAGCCACTACAAACATTGTGATAACTTTGTCAAATTTACAGATGTTGAGCTAAAATTTGACGTGTAAGTAGCTGAGAGTCATTTACAACATACTCTGAGCACTAACAGGCAAATCAGCCAACTAGTGAGCACAAGCCAGTGTATCTCTTGTGCCGGTCCCAAACCTAGGTAAATGGTGAGGGTTGTGTCAGGAAGGACATCTGATGTAAAACACTTTTGTCAAAACTAGAATGCGAGTTCATCAAAGCAAAACCGTACCGGATTGGTCGAGACCCGGGTTAACAATGACCACCACCGGTGCTGTTGACAAACAGGGTGCCGACTGAAATTGTGCTACTGTTAGTCGAAGACCACGAGGGAGGACAGAGGATGCAGAGGACAGAGTGAGATGGAGGAGGATGACTCGCTGTGGCGACCCCTGAAGAGGGAAAAGGTGAAAGAAGAAGAAGACGACTCTGAGCACTTACAGACCACGT